AAACAAGAGAGAAAATGGCACTCACCAAACCACCCATGGTCCTCGGGCACTGACCACACACTAGGACCGGAAGTAGGTGAAGTTTGTTTTTCCTGGGTCCCCATGCCAAAAACTTGGCTATGCTGTGACTAGGGCTGCCCTTGATCAACATATGCCCCAAGCTGCCTCTGGCCATCTGGAGCCTTTTACTATGCCCTTTTCTGTGTATCCTCTGGCATTCTAGAGACCATTTCAGTGAAGTTGAAGTTTACATGTAAAATCAGACTGCAAAGAGAAAATCGTCTGACATCAGAGTTACTCTAGAAAACCACTTAGAAGGTCTCTATTTTAGAAATCTCCCAGAGTCTAATATGGTCAGTTTTTCCAATAGGAGTGGGAAAGATAAGTGTTTATATATAAGCCAGATAGTTAGCTTGTGAGATTGAGGCCATATTGCGTGCTGAAAAGATCCTGTTCCCTTAAATGCATTAAATTTTGAGAAATGTCTACACCAAGTGAGGTATCTACGACAGAAGAGGCTGAAGGAATGGCAGATCCAAGTTCTCTTGGCATACTCCCACTTCACTGTTGTAAATTTTTGGCTGAATGGTTAATGCATGGCTCCTGTCTGAAGAAGGCAGCAACCAGAATGTGCTCTTGCCTACCTGGAGACCCAGGCATTCTGAAAATCATGCCCCATATGTGGTTTAACTAAGATATGTGACTCTAGTGGGAAAAGCTAGATAAAATAAATAGCATTGGCTTGGCATCAGAAGGTGATTTCTGTGGGTCTATGAGAACTGTCGATGCTCTTCAATTCACCTAATATAGGAAGCTGCTTACATAGACACAACATCACCGCAACCTGCATGAGTCATTAGCCCACAGGCCAGTTTACCCTGCCTCCCTGTTTTCAGAGTCAGAATGCGTTCATCACATATGACTTTTACTCCAGCACCATGATTATGAGGAGTATTTGATAAGAGACTTTCAAGCATTTAGAAATATCTATTGTGTGCTTATTAGGGCATGTTTTGGGAATAGGGATAAAATATTAATGACATATATTTTCCTTCTCCTCTAGTCTAGTGGAAGAGGAAAAAATAAACAGGAAATTAGAATATGATCAGTGTGAGCATAGAGTGCTACAGGAACACACAGGGGTGGCCCCTAACTGGAGTAATTGGCTGGGCCCAGAAGAGTGAGGCAGTTCTTTCTAAATACAAGGAGCAGCATGCATGCATAGCACGTGTAGCAGAAGCTTTTCTTTGACAAGAATGTTGACAATGAAATGACTAGAAGATGCCTTATGTGCCCTGAATATCTACTATGTTTTCTGAAAACATAAAGTGGAGGTATGAGCCACTAAGAAGAGTCTGCACCTTTGATGAGAATTTGCAGAGGGGGTGAGAGCTAAAAGAAACAAAATTTACACCCTTGGTGACATCTTAGTCCCTTTGCCACAGTGGCGTAATTAGTGATGTTTGTGCGAAATATCAAATACTTCGAAAGCCTTACAGAAACCAGTCTGCTAAATGTGTCTGCAAATCATGGCCAATATGATGAGCACCCATTTACATGGAATGCTTACACAGGTTCTTCAGAACCTCATGAACACTCGTGAACACGTTTGAACCCCCACAACACAGCATCAGCAAAAGGCTGACCAGTATTCTTTGTTCAATTACGTAACTAATTATTGATCAGTAATTTTGTCACTGAGGCACACGTTGATCAGAAGAAAACAAAAAACAGCACTGGAATTATTGGGAATTTTAGACAACTGAAGAAATTTTAGAAAATAGCATCTTTTTCAGTCCACATAAAAACATTTCTTGGCCACCAAAGCATAGAAATGGGGTCTACTACCTAGAATAGGGGTGAGAATAGAGATTTTCCATGTTTCCCTTTCTTTATTGGGTTTTAATTGTATATCATTCTTTAGATGCACTGTTAGTTGGATTACTATTTTCACTACCATATTATAGCCACCAAGAAGGCAAATGTGTGTGATGCTTCCTAATAAACACCAAATTTTTCTATCCCCAACATAAGAAACAAAAAAGGAAGAAAGAAATAATACAAAGAGAAGGACTCAAATGGTAGTAATTTCACTTTCTTTTAGGTTATTGAATCATTTTAGAAGATGTGCCTCCATAAAAACCTTATCAAAATCACATGGTTGCCTGTGGCAAAAATACCAATCCATATTCAAACTTCCTATAGCCGCAAACTTCTGGACAAATATTGAATGTGCAATTGTCTTCAGCATTTCACCAAGTCATTTAATGATACAACAATTGTCAGGTGCCCTGAATGGTTTTTTTTTTTTACACACCCACTAGCAATGTTTGTTAATATATTCTTTGCCATACAAACTTCTAAATGTTCACTTCCAAATAGTAGAAGAGAATAGGTAACCTCATTTTATCCAATAGGAAGTTTTATTCAATAGGAAGTAATAAAATATAATAAAACAAAGCACTTATGATTTAGAATGAGAAAGACTTGCCTTTGAATCTTGGCTCATTTACTAATTGTCTGACCTTAGGGAAATTACTTAACATCTCTGAACCTCAGCTCCCTCAGCTTTACAATAGAGATAATAGTAAGAACCTGATTGTGTAGTTGTATTAATAAAGACATTACGTGTAGAACATTGTATATTGCCTGGCTAACTTTAGAGACTCAATATTAGCTGTTCCATGATTACTTGTTATTAATACTAAAATAGCAATTTTGTTAACTGCTGATTTCATGGTTAGTGCTTTTTTGAATGTGCAGTTCAGAAGACAGAGCTTGGACCAGTAAAACCTGTATTTGAACCTTGAGTGTTCTGTGAAGTGAAGAAAAGCCACTTAACCTCTCTGAACCAGAGCTGTTTCCAATGGGATATTTGAGTACTAATGCCTACCTTGCCAGATTATTACAAAGATTGAATGTAGCCATTCTTCTTAGCACATGATAGACATTGATGAATAGTAGCTCCCAGTATTAACATTATTGCAATAGCAGTAGTTGAAAAACAAGGAATCATCTAACTTATATGCCTTGGAGTAGAATAATATCTTATACAGGGATGGAAAATAGGATTGTCTTCAGTTGTCAACCCTGCTGGTTAGTGAGGGCCTGGCATGTTCCGTGAGAAGGACTCCAGTATTTACCAAGTCTGCTTGCATGCAGTGTTGATGAATACGGACACTGGAACCCAGCATGTGATTTTATTAAGTATACTTAAACATACCCAGATATTTGCACAAAGCCACAGAAAAGACACAAAATATTCTGCAGATCCCACATATTTCAAAACCCGGAAATATAAATCAACTGGCTTTTTTCATGTAAAAGGTGTTGGAGGAAAGAGAGTAGTGATAAAATCTGGAAAAGCAACAACAACAAAAAGAAGGACCAATCCTTTTATCCTATTTTCCAAATCTGTTGTTTGGCAAAGCATGTAGAATATTAGAAAGTCAGTTATCATCTCAGTTTGTAATCATTCAAACATTTTAAGTTGACTTATTTCCATTCATTCTAATCAGTGGCTGTGACTACTATAGATGGAGTGGAGGGCAGAGACCTTAAGATAATAAAGGTTTCTCAAGGGTGATTCTAAAATATCTCTGTACATTAGAAATAATTGCTTTTATCACAGGATGTATAGAAAACAGGAGGACCATTACATTTAAGGGCCATTTAAGGGTCAAAAACAAAAGAATAGACCTAAGAAGATTGGTTAAGTAATCAGCAGGTTTTATTTCCCAGAACTGAAATAATTCAGATCTAAACTCCCAAAGCTACAGTCAACAATTTTTCATCAGAGCCCAAAAGAGGAGAGGGGTGACAGAGATAAAGGATGAAGAAAGGCATAGGGAGACCACTAGGAAGAGGTTAGGAGGGGACAATTATTTCTGTCTTCTCAGTAGGTTACATATCAGGTCTGGTGACAATATTGATGGCAGCATGTTGGGGATCTGGATGGGAAATGACACCGCAAAGGAACACCAAAGCCTTAACTACAAAAAGAAAGTTATCAAACCCCAAACAGAAAGGACCCTCCTAGTTCATCTCAGAAATGGGGGTAGCAGTGGAGGAGCTAAGAGCAGAGTGGAGGCATATCCCAGGGTAGTTAATTTTTTTTAAATTTCCTTTTATTAAAAAGGTTCCCTAAACTTTGTGCTTTTTCTTTTTGGCCTGGGTGATGTATGACTGTGGGGTAGCATTGAGGCTGTGGGGAGAGGGAAGGGGGCCGCCAAAGGTCTCCCTATAACATCCCATGTGGCCCCAGAGATCTAACTGGGGACAGATGCTCCTCACCATTCCCATCTAAGAAGCCGGGCAACGGTAGGCTCTCCCATATCACAAACAACATGGATGCCCTCAAATTATTATTTTATTTGATGAAAAACTACAACTCCCAGAACTCTCTGGGTCAGCAAAAGGATTTTGGGAAGGGAGGCTCTCCCCCATTAAGCTGTCCCACTTTCCCTGAATCGAGGCAGCTGGGATGACAGGTATGGGAAGACTGGACAAGAGCTCAGGAAGATGTCACTCTCCTGCCATAGCCCCCACCACCATAGTTTGAGGATTGCCCCTTCCAGGCCCCTGGAAGTCCCCCCTGCTCATTATCCTTCACCCCTTCCACTCCTACCCCTGATTCCAATGCAGAGGTCCAGAGTGCCTGGCGCAGGGAGAGAGGGGTATCGGGAGGTGGCAACAGCTGGTCCAGGCCCCAACAGAAGCCTTGGGAAACAGCTCCAGGCAGGAAGGGGCACGGTGGTCTCATCTCATCCCAGGGAGCAGAGGCCTTGACTCAGCTCCCAGGAGTGTGGGGACACAGCGGTGAGGGCCAGGTGGCCTGCCCCATCCCAGTCGGTCAGTCCCCAGGGGCCGGGCGTGGAGAGGGAGAGCGGGTGGAGGAGAGTGGGCGGGGGTGGGGGAGGCGTCCCAGTCTGCAGGCCGTGGCCAGTTTCCCCAGTAACAGCCAGAACGCGGGTGGGGGGCTCTTCTTGAAACTTTGGTGCCTACTGGCTCTCGCGGTCTCCCGCTCCTGGGGGCTTGAGCTCTTTCTCGGCAGCCTCTTCCTCGGGCTCCTCCTCCTCCTGGGGCGGCCCTGCGGCGGGGCCCGGCTGGGACGCGGCGCCGGCGTCCCCCACCTCCAGGCGCGGCGGCCTGGCATCCTCCCGGGCGGCCTCCTCCTCCTCCTCCCCTTCCGGGTCGGCCTCCTTGGGACGTTTGGAGGTGGCCTCGTGCAGGTCCCCGGCGCTCCTCTTCAGCGGCCCCTTCTCGCCCTCCTCCTTGGCCGTCTGGTCGAGGCCCGGCTCCCCCTGCTCGTCACCGCCGCCGTCGGCGTTGCTCTTCTGGTCCCCGTCGCCCTTGGCGGCCTCCGCCTTGGGCTGGGGCCCTTCCACGCAGCTCTGCTCCTGGGCCTGTGGGCAGCCAGCAGCCTGGACGGTAGGGTTGTTCTCGATCTCCCACAGCCCCGCGCTGAACCCCCTCCTCTTGTTGGGCTTGCCGAACTTCTCCTTGGCCTCCTCGTACGGGAAGAGGCGTTGGGGGCCCAGGAAGGCCGTCTCGTGGGTCCCGAAAAAAAACACTTGGTAGCGATTGGGCGCGGCCACTTGCTCTATCCGGGCCGGCCAGTGGGCGTAGCCTTTCAGCTTGGCAAACACCAGGTCCCCCCTCTGGTACTTGCGCCTGCAGTAACGCGACATGGCGGGGGGACGGCGGACCCGGCCTGTGGCGGCCGGAGAGGGCGACGCGCTGCGGTGGCGGCCGCTGAGCTGGGCGTCGCGCGGCTGCGCCTCGAGGGGCCCCCGCGCGCCCACCGACGCGGGGTCAACGCTCCGGCGCCCTGAGAAGATTCTAGTGCGTGTATTATCTCTGCGACCCAAAGTCAGTTTGACCCTCCCGTAGACGCTGTGGTTTTAGAATGATAGAGCGATCTTGGATGTCCGGGTGGCAGTTGTGCCGTCAGTGCCCCCGTGCCGATCCATCTCTAGAGGATCTGGGCCGTGAAGATTGCATAGTTTGCTGTGTGCCAGAGTGGCCTAGAAAGGGAGGAATGGGGCAATGTGGTGAGAAAACACAGTGACACAATAAGCACATATTTCCGTGACACTTGTAACAGGCGAGTGCAAACTTGCGGTATCCGTGTGGTCCCCAATCTGCTTACTACAGAAAACTCCACTGGGTGCCTCAGGAGCTTGACGAGATGGCTGGGTCTTACTTTCAATCCTTTTCTGATTTCCTTGAGGGCTAACGCCGAACCTGCAAGGGGACTCAAGACCAGAGGGGAAGTCTGGCAAAGGCGTAGAGACAGCAATGATGTTAGGGTGTCTGGACTGCACATCTTTCGGAAACCAGTATTCCAAACGGGGTAGTACTTTTGGGGGAGGTCACAAAATGTATATACCAGCATCATGACCATGTCAAACTAGCCATATCAAAATTTCTTACTTTACATGGGAAGGTTTACATCGAATGCTGGACGTGGACTTTACCCCTTCAGAGATTCTTGCATATTGTAGAAAACAAGACTGTATGGTTATAACATGGAGAGTTTGTCAAATGCTCTCAGTATCTCCCTTCAAGAGGGGAAAATTGGGCTCATTGTGCTTAAGAGTTAGGCAGAGGTCTGCTCATATCAAATATGCTGTTGGTAACTAGAACTTCCTGGGCGCTGCAGACTAAAAAGCATCATCTCAGCTGAGAGACTATTTTAAGAGAGACTTTTCTCCATATATGTCTATTCTAAACTGATATTTATGGGAGTTTCCCTGTAACTGCAACTGTTAAACAACTTTTTACATATTTTCTTTGAGTGCTGGTAGCTAGCCATGAACTTGCACTCTGAAACCTAGCCAAATTTATCAGAATCATACTCTTGGCTAGTATGACAAAGACCTTTCAATATCAATCATGTATTTAGCTACACACATGTTCTTTCCTAAGGTAACCAACAGTGACCAGTGGAGAATTAGAACCATTAACCCATTTCAATACAACTCAAATTTGTTTGCAGTTTGCTGGGTTGGATCAGACGTTTTTACCTCTGAGTGGTAGAAATCTGCTCTGGGCAAAAGAAGTTAACTTCTCCCAACAAGCAAAACAATATGATGCACTCAGATAATTCTAAACAAGTTCTTTTAGCTTTTCTGTCAAGCCACTTTCTTAGAAAACTTTTCTACCCCACAAATATCTACAGCTTTAACAATTAAGTAACATCAACAATGCATCAATAATTCATTCACAAATCGACGTTCTGCTACAAAGATGAATCTGACACATTTCCGCCTCTCAATTTAATAGGGGAAGTGCTAGAAGGCTAGAAATGTTTAGTGGCTGTGGAGGAAAATAGGAAATCATGGGCAGCTGTGGAGCCCATAGTAGGAAGGAATGTGGAGTTTCTATAAGCAGGGGTCTTACTGCATGTGGCCTTTTTTCTCAGCCCTAAGTATGCTGCACTAATGCATAGATCATGTACCAAAGTTGATCAAGGAGAAAAAAGTCTGGCTAGACACCGTGTCCAGAAAGGGTACTTAGTTATTCCATCAGCTCAGTCTGAAGGCACGACCAAACCTAAAGGTGAATGTGACGGTAGGCAAATGTGCCACCCTTGAATAAGCCAAACATCAAAGATTACTGTTGGAGAGTTGAATTACAGCAGGTGAACAGGTGGGGATCTGAGGTTTAGAGCAAATAATCAGGAACCTATCAAAAACTGAAACAAACAGGAGTAGAGGCAAGAAGATCTAGTACAGAAGGATCTAGATCTGCAAAGGGTATTATGTATTCTATTAGGCAAAGAAATGTCATTTTTGTACCTCCATCTGTTGCCCATTAATATACTGCGTGGTGCTAAGGGCTGGCACAGCAGATGTTCATCTTTGAGGACTTTATAATTTAGGAGAGAAAGGACTAGAGACTTCATTACAGAGACATGCAAGCTAGTCTTCAATGGCTAAGTCATGTGTTCTTTACATGAATACCAAAGGAATTCCAGAAGAAGCCAATGGGAGTGTGGTTATTAGGGCAGGCTTATGGGAAGGGTAGTGGGAAACATAGAAAGAATTCTGGAATCCTTCACTTATTTACCAGCCTTGTAAGGCTGGGAATAGATATAATCTTTCTGAGCCTCCGGCTACATGATCTTAAGATGTTTAAAGTAATACTTAGAATTTCTCTCAGGATTGTTATAAATATTAATGAGATTATAGATATGCAAGTGCAGACAGTGGGTATAAAGGTCCATGATGTACTAACAAGTGCGAAGAAGAATTTCATTATGAATGGGATTACGCTATTATTACTGTTAGGCTAAATGAGTGAAAAGATATATCAAAAGGAGTAGAGTCATGAATAAGGGCACTGAAGAATGAAGAAAAGTCCTCCACTAGCCAAATTCTACATTATGTATAGAATTACAGGTTGCATATGGAGTTATGTATTACAAATGGAATTACATATCCAGCACAACTTCTGTATGAAACAACTTAAAAGTTCTTGTTACTTGGAAATATTATTTTTAAAAGCAGTGTTCTTCAAATAAATTTATCACCTGATGGTAGCTAATTCCAGGAAGGGGAGAAGGAGAGGAAGGAAGGTGGAACAAAAGTCAAATGCATTCAAAGTGGTCTAAGAGACCACTTTCACAGAGACCGCATTCCTTGTATACCTGGATTCTCAGCGATGCAATTAAATGGTGTCATATTGGCTTCTTCTCCCCTTGAAACAACTTGTTTTAAGTTATTGTCTCTCTTGGTCAAAGTGAGGAGACCAGAGAAGTGGTGTTCATGGTAACTTGGTTAGATTTAGATTTGGCTATTGTATAAACAAAGTACTCATGAGCAACTACAATTATTAATTTTCAGGAAGTAGATCTCCATGAGCTCAATGATTCTGGTAGGTCAGGATGTTTCAAAAATTAAATGTACCAAGAATACCTGTTTGTAAAAAGGACCTAATTTAAGCAACAGCATACCTAGCAAAACACCTTGGAGTTCAAAACATATAATACTTCTCAGTTTCCTTTTCTGGAAAACTAATGAGAGGTTTCAAAGTTGCCTGACAACAATTATGAAATATGGGCAATAAAACAATATAATTGTATGAGAGAAAATAAATATCTAATTGATGTTTTCTTGTTTAATTAGTTTTAAATTCAATTAGTTTGGTGTAAACTATGACTTAAAATAAACGTCATTGTTTTCTATGTGCTTTTATCTTCATTAAAAAATATCAGCTGCCTGTGGGTTTATACAACAGAAGTGTTTATACATGTTTGGCATTTGGGTCAAGGCTTTCCTTTTTAAAATGTTCCAGCAGACATAATTATGCAGAAAATAAGTCCCCCTCCTCCACCATGGGTAGAAAATCCCCCCACTGTCCTTTTTCGGAAAGTCACAGGAAGTATACTACCTCTGTATTTTGTCACCTCTGCATTTCATCCGTGTCCGCCTAGCCTAACCCTTAAAGCCTCAGGGATTTCTGAAATTCAAGGGATCTGCTGGGGGTGGGGATGAACTCAGTATCAACGGGCATGTCCCAGAGCTAAAGGATAGTTTAAGAGGTGTTCCCAAGGAGTTGTAGCATTGTCAGTTTGAATAGTGAGTCAAATCTGTATCTGCCTTTGATGATGGGATATGGGGAGGGACAGATGAGGGTGCAGATTTTCCAATGGTGTAGATGTGCTGGCAACTTGGGCCCATTTGGCCAATTGTGAGTGTCATGGGGTGGTGTGCAGGAGGGGACAATTCTGAAGAGATCAGAATTGTTTGCAAAATCTCTATTTCAGTGCCCGTGGAAAGAAAATTGCCACTTTAAAATTAATACAAGTGGGGGCCGGCCCGGTGGCATAATGGTTAAGGCTGTGCGCTCCACTTCATTGGCCCAGGGTTCGCAGGTTTGGGTCCTGGGCACGGACCTACGTACTGCATATCAAGCCATGCTGTGGCAGGTGTCCCACATATAAAAAAAGTAGAGGAAGACGGGCACGGATGTTAGCCCAGGGCCAATCTTCCCCAGCAAAAAGAGAAGGATTGACAACAGATATTAGCTCAGGGCTAATCTTCCTCACCAAAACAAAACAAAACAAAACAAAAAAATTAATAAAAGTGGCTGGTTAAGAATAATTATATTTGATTATACTGATTTGTCGGGGGCTTAAAGATTTTATTTATTTATTTATTTATTTATTTATTTATTTTTTGTGAGGAGGACCAGCCCTGAGCTAACATCCAATGCCAATACTCCTCTTTACTTAAAGATTTTAAAAACTACTCTTTAGGAAAAAATTTAAACATAAAATGTTTCAATAATCTGAATATTTTTCTAATTTGTATCTTGCATGATAATATTTATTCAAGCTGTGTTACATGAATATGTATGAGTTATTTTTTATCTATATAATTAGCAAAGTTTAAATAAGTTATCAATGCTGCTGAGTATTCAGTAATTGCAGATTAGATGCATATAACATGTTCTATTTACATAATAATTACATAATCAGATGGACATACTCTGTGTCTTTAAGATTTTTAAAAGTACAGTTTAGTGACTTGGAAAATGCTTACGATATGAAGTTGAATGAAAAGACAGGACAAAACATATAACATAGGTAATTTATTAACCTATATGAAAACTAGTTTCTTAAATCTAAGATGTGGATAATCTTAGTACCCATTGGAGAGAAAGGCTATTTGAAGAAACAGAAAAATACGTGTCAAGCATGTTCCCTGGCATCTATTAAGTGTTCAGTTACTATTAGCCATTATTATTAAAATAGCCAACGCTAGCTCTATTTTG